CACACACACACTCTTGCCACCTGTTCCTCTTGCACCTGTAGCAGCCAGTAGCTGTGCAGACCTGACCTGCTGTTTCTATTTAGCCCTCGTGCTGCAAGAGAGTTGCTTGCTGATTTCTTTCCTTGAAGAGGGTGTTCAGAGGCAGAGGGGCATCTGGGCTTCTTTGGTTTGGTCAGCTGGCAGCTCTGGATGAACAGAGCGAGCAAACAGCTGAAGAGTAAGCTGAGAGTCAGCTAAATTTCTTGATTCTTCAGCTCCCTCCGTGCAGGGATCCTGAACTAGACCTAGTAGCCCTATTCTAACTCAGGTCTCACTTTCCCTTTTCCCTACCTTCCTGTCCAATTCCCAGCACCCTTTGCCTTTTCCTCACCCTGTTGTTGAAGGATTGAGTTGGTTTTTTGTACTAATGCTATTTTTTTACTTAATTTTTCCCCTGCTCCTCTTCCCTCCTCTACTCCCATGCTTCTTCTTGCCACAACCTCAGCTACCATTGGGGAGGAAAGATCAGCCAGACTGAGAAAATCTTTGGCTGCACCTGGAACTTTCCTGCCAGTGACAAAAATATCTACTGTGATGGCTTTTACTGAAGATTTTATTGGACTGTGGATGCACAGAGACTAAAGGCATTTGGGTTATCCACCATTCCCCAGCACACAGAGAATTGTGTCCCAGCCTCCATTTTGTCACAGTCAGTAAGTCATGACGGGGAAAATGGCTTCCAGCCTGACTTGTACAGGGGTTATATGGACATTTTTTTCTTTCCTCTGCGCCGGGGTCTCCTGCGTGGGCTTCTTCATGCCGTACTGGCTGTTGGGATCTCAGCTGGAGAAATCAGTGTCCTTTGGCACCTTCCGGAGATGTTCCTACCCAGTACGAGATGAGATCCGCCAGATCACAGTGATGGTGGAGCAGTGTGGACGCTATGCATCCTTCCAGGCCATCCCAAGTGTGGAATGGAGGATCTGCACGGTGGTGACGGGGCTAGGCTGTGGCCTTCTCCTTCTGGTGGCCCTGACTGCCCTGATGGGGTGCTGCGTGTCCGAGCTGATCTCCAGGACTGTAGGCAGAGTGGCTGGAGGCATCCAGTTCCTGGGAGGTGAGTAAGAGTAAACTCTTGACCTCAGCATCTACGCTCTGCCTTTGTGGAATACAAAGAACCTATGTTGTTCGTATTAGATTAATTTTGCAGACTGAATGCGTTCTTACATTAATTCTTCTGCTGCCTGGTTCAGTGCTTGTAGTATGTTAAGAAGTGGAGGCTGTCTCCTTACAGAATGTGAGGAGCCTCTTTCTAGAAAGCAAAGTTCATTCTCTCCAATGGAGTATCAAGTAGGATAGTACGGAACTTTCCTGAACCAGCCAAAGAGACAACTACTCTTGAATTCACTTTGACGTTACATGTTAAGAAGTTGTCCTGCAGTGTCAATGCAAAGGTGGAGGAAGGCAGCAAAACCAGAATTAGTTAGCTCAACCTACTGTCGTCTTTGGCTCGCCTTTCATTGGCCCCTTGCTCTACCAGTCATGATGGGCACCAGCCCTTCCTGACGCTTGGGATGCCTTCTGGAAGACAAATCACAGTGAAAGGCTACTCCACTTGTCCTGAGTTCTGAACTTTAAAAGGAGCGAGCCTGTTCCCTTGAGGGTGCTCCAGTTTTGTTTGGTTGTCAGTGTGTGTGTGTGGGGGGGGAGGTCTAATCTATGGTCCCTGAAGTGACACATGCTTTTGTCCATTACGTACAGAGAAAGAGCATTTGACTAGCTGCCCAGGTTTAATGTTTGCTTGGAAGTAAGCCCCATTGATTTTATTCAGAAAAGCAGTGCAGATCAATCCATGTGTACGAAAATGGCTCCTTGCCTTCACAAAGAGTTCTTTCCAGGTAAATAGGCTCATACAGGATTGGAACCTTATTTGTAAACATGTTTTGTGCTGCAACCCCTGTCCTATTTTGTGGCTGGGTGCTGCAGAAAGTGTCCCTTTGCCCTAAAAGTGCCAGAAGTCTGGTTTTTCTGTCTTTTGGCTCCCTTACTTTGCTTTACTCTTCCTGACCATATGGTTTTAATTTTAGCTTTTGCATCAACACTCCCTACTTCCTTGTGTTCTTTTTTTTTTTTTCTCCCACAACGGCTTCTAATTCCAACCTTTGCAACTGCTCCTGCAGGGAAAAAAAGGGGCGGGGGCGGGCGGGGAAGAACTAGGCAAAAACTGACATCTTCTCTGTTTTTTATGGTGCTATCTTGTGATGAGAGTCTGAAGTAAAGGTGTGATCCTGCAAGATGCAGAAAGGAGACTGGGTTATTAACCCATTAGTTGCACTGTCTCATGTTTCCTCTGCGTAGCAACCTGGCAATCTGAGAAGGTGCAAAAACAATAGCAGAAACCACTTGCAAAAGAAGTTTGCATTCTGGAAGCATGGACGCCTGTTTTCTGCTTTCTGCCAGCAGTTCACCGCTTTGTTGCCCTCTCCCCAAAGCTGATTAAAATGTATGGAGTCCAGTTTGTTTGTTTGTTTAAAATATTTTTATCCCACGTTTCTCCTCTAAAAGGACTCATGGTGGCTTCCATCATTAAAAGGCAATATTTAAAGCTAAAAGCATCAAGTTTACAAATATTAAAAAGGAATAAACGAATACCATTCTCTGAATTGGCAAACAGAAGCAATACTAAAAACACATTCAAAGCAGTAAAGCATAACAATCCGTTCAAAAATACGACTCGGGCATCCAAGTTATTGAGGAAAAGCTTGCCTGAAGTGATGAGGAACAGCACGTTTTCTGTGGGGAAGTTTTCAATACTGTTCTCCCTCCCCAGTACCCATTGATTTCCTCTATGACTCTTTGGAAATGTATGGTTTGATGAAATTAAGTAGCAACACAGTGAAATAAATACAACCTAAGTCAAACTGAACAGTACATATGAATGGTTGAAATACTACTCAAGTTTAAAATAACTAAACTAACCATTTTCAGTGACCGGGCTCATAGGTGCTGATAAGCCAGAATTCCAAAAGTACCTCATCTTATTGATTCAGAGCAACATGTTTCGGCTGCTTTTTATTTTTTATTTTTTGGCTAGTGGCAGCAGCTAAAACCAGTGTTTCCCAGCCTTGGGTCCCCAGATATTGTTGGACTAAAATTCCCAGAAGCCTTCACCACCAGCAGTGCTGGCAAGGATTTCTGGGAACTGTAGCCCAAGAACATCTGGGGACCAAATGTGGAGAAGGACTGAGCTAAACAAACCACAAGCTTTTTTTTTCTGTGGTTTCTTTAGAGCCAAGTACAAACCAGTTACTCTGGCTTGTCTCTCCATTTATAAGCCATGATCATAAGCCAAGAACATCCCATGAGCTACAATTCTGGCTTGTCAGGGAATGAAGGCAAGCTAGAGTTCCTGGTTTGCAGATCACAATAATTTAAAATTAAACAAGAACAACCATGGATGGAAGGTCTCTGGGGTTTTTTTAGCTATCCCCACATATAGGAGGAGCAACATTCATCAGCACCATGGCTAATTAAAAATAATTATGATAACATTTCAAGATGCTTACAGTGTCTATGGTTAAACGTCTTAGTTGGTTGCCTTAAAATATCAGTAATATATGGTACATGTTAAATTATTATGCCTTGAAATACTTGCAAACATTCCAGTGAAATTAATTTTCCATTAACATTTTCAGTTTATTTGAACATTTATACCAAGTGTACTTTGTTATATTTTCCTATATTAAACAAATACTTTAGCTCCAAATACTTTTGGTCATTGCCAAAGCATTTCAGATATTTATATAGCAGATAAAATTAGCTTGGTATACATATCTAGTTTTGTTTACTAAACTGAACTTTATTTAGTTTTATTTGTTGAACCTAGAGTTATTTTACACAGGCTTATTTGGAGTGAGCTGGTGCAAGCTAAATAGTGTCACTTGGGGTTGAGTAGTGGTGTGATATGCCATTTGGTGTGATCCTTGCATCCAAATGGCATATGTACCTCAAATGACCCTATTTGGTTTAGCCTTTAAGGAAGCTAAAAAGCCTCTGTCCTTGCCCTCATCTGTCTCCTCCTGCTTCCAAGAGGAAGATTTCAATCTTGTTTAGTTTTCTGTAAATGAAGGAGTGCACCAGTGCTGATTAATAGGATTAATTTTTCCCTTCCTCCCTCTGTTCTGTGAAGGAGCAGTGAAAGGAAGTTTTTAATTTCCCAGTTTAGCAAGTTTTCTCTATTTAGTCGGTGTACATTGCTGTGTTTAATATCTCCCTTCTTGCCCCCTCCCATCTCCTCCGGCTTCTGGGAGGAAGTTTTCAATTTTTCTTTTCTTGCTTTCAAAGTGGTGCAGCACATCATCACTATCATAGTACAGTTTAAAAATATATTTTATTTCCTCTGCTCCTCCACAGAGCAAAGTGATCAATTTCCCAGTATGGTGAAGTCTCTCTTCTTAAGCCATTTAATGATATTGGCAAATTAAGAGTGGAAGGCAAGTTGATAACTGCAAGCTTCCTTTGCTTTGCTTTGCTTCCAGAAATTGTGCAGTCTATAAATGAACCAAAATAGAGGGATCCTACTTGCGAGGGGAAAAAGTAGCTACTAACAGGGACCTAGAAAGGTGTAGGAAGGAACGCTCTGGGGACGGACTGGCTCACTCTAGCAATTACATGATGTGATTGCTGGAAAAAATAGTGAACCAGCCCATCTCTGCAGCGGAAGAAACAGTGGGACAAATGCCTCTCTGGGGACAGGCTGGCTCACTCTAGCAATTAAGGTACATCATGTGATTGCTGGAAAAAATACGGTAGTGCACCAGCCCATATTTGCAGCGGAAGAAACAGTGGGACAAATGCCTGTCTGATTGCACCCTTAAACATATGTGTTGAATCAGGTCTGCATTAACAAGTTCTCTCCCCCAATATTCCGTATAAAATCTTCTAGAAAACCACACCACTCATAAAGAAGTAAATCAGCTTCTATTGCCCACGATTTTGTTTCAAGTCTGGTTCTGTTTCCTCTGTGCTTCATAGAAGTGCTGTCCTTGAAAGTTCATGTCCTGAGTGTAACAAGTAGTTGCAAAAGAGTCTCTTTTCCAGACCACTTTATGTTGTTTGTCTTGGATGACATGTGTCCCAAACTGCAACTTTTCCCTTAGTGGGCAAAAGCCCTCATCATGCTTTCTTATTGTCCTTCAGTGACTCCTGGGCATCTTACAGTTGTTTGAGTTTTGGTAGAATAAAGCTGATTTGAGAAAGTAGCACATTACCCTTAAGATAACTTTATTTAGCAACCCTTTAGCAGTTGGCAATCAGGAATATTTAGGATATTTTTCTTCTTCTCTCTCTCTCTCCTTCTCTCTTGATATGCTCACTAAAATTCACAGGAAACTATCAGATTGAGTGCTTTATTTGTGTTACTGACAGATTTATGTCACGTGTCAAATGAAATGGCATTTTATTGTTTAAACAATGTCACTGTGGATGAAAGACCTGCGGTCCGGTTTCCTTGAAGTGCTCAAGAGTCAGTCGATCCTGTTTGAATCCTCTTTGAATATTCTGGGTTGTCTGTGAGGTCCTGCCCATTGAATTGGTCCCTTTAGCTCTGATTCCTGTGTTCCTTGTAGCTAAGTAGATGGGCAGCTCTCTTGTATGGCCCCGGCGAAGGTGAAAGTTGTGCCTAGGCAAATAAGCCGGTATCCTAGGCTCCCTCATCAGCAGGCGAACAATGCTGTAAGGATCACCAATGCTTGCCACACGGACCCTCCCTCCCTCCAGTCCTAATATCCTCCGCAGACAGCACCCCCCCACCCCCCCAGCAACTACAGAATGAAAAGCAGACAGCATGGTGAAGACAGCAACCCAAGGTTCATGATGCTTATGTCCTTGCTCCCCGTTTGTTTGTTTTTTTTAGTTGTGGCCAGAAGGGACACAAGAAACGCCTTCTCCTTGCTTCTTTTCTCAGTCCCTGACCTCAGGCTTAGTGGGGAAAGCTGGGTCAATGGGAGACAGGAATTCTTTTAAAAAAAAAAAACATTATGGTTGTTGCTTTAAAACATGGAGTCAAAGCACTGGGAGAGTAGTATCAAAATAACATTTATCAAGATGGAACAGATG